GTGGGCGGATGTCTTAAGATGCTGTAGTGTATTCTGAATTTTCTCAACAAGTGAATAATGCACTCAAAAGTTTACTGGGAAAATGCAGATGCTAGTGTTGGTTTAGTTTAAAACCAGAGGGACAGAGAGACTAGAACAGAACACAATAACATGGGAGTATAATAGACAAGTGATAGAAATTATCAGAAGAAAAAAATAACCTGTGTTTGTTTTGGTCAGAGGAAGGTGCTGTTGCTATCAATTCACAATAACCTGTGTTTGTTTTGCTGCTAATCTTACATTAGCTTAACTGAATCTGGAAAGATTGGGAAAGTATTCCTCCTAACTGATTTTGGCCAGCCTATTTCTGCATCTCTGTCTTTATGCCGAGCTTGAGTGTGAGCAGCAGCATGGCCAAATGCTCGATCGGATGCTGTTTAGGTAAAAACAAGGGAGATTAGTGTACTCATGCTACCAAACTGACGGCAGTTTTTTGCTTTCTGTCAGATGGAGACGAGCAAGTGCTGCTGGACATTGCTCTGAATGCTTCAACTGAATGCTCTGACTGAAACCCAGCCAAAAGATTCAGTCTGTACCTCGACGGCGCATCAGGTGGGAGAGGAAGGACTTACCAAGACGCAGTCCACTGAAGAAGCCTTGCCGGCGAACGGAATCCCCCTCCTCCTCCTCCTCCGCGGACGGGCGCACGGCCAAGGCGGCGACCGGCGCGTAGGCCCGCGACGCGGCGGCCCACTCGCACCCGAGGTCGCGCAGGCACAGCACGAGCCACTGCTGCATGCCCCGTGCCTCCTCCGGCGGCAAGGGCGACGAGGAGGATGTGTCGTCCCTGCGCTCGAGCAGGAGACACGGTGGGAGGAGAAGAGCCGATTTTTGTGGTGAAAGAGGGGAGATTCAGGAGGTAGGCAAGGGGGCTGCCGCAAGGTAGGAGGGAGCGGCGAAGGAGGAAGCTGCGGCGGCGGAGGAGGACGCATGGGAGAGCAGGGGAGCAGCGTGGCGAAGCTGAACAGGGGAGCTCCGACGGCCATGCGCCTGTGTCGGAGCGGCAAGTTGTGTCGGGAGTTTCGGGAGGGGTTTTCTGCAAAAACATCACGAGGACAACTTTTCCCGGATGGAGGAGAGTCAAAATATATCTCGCCAAAGTGCGAATCTTCTGAGCAGAAAATGCAGCTGAAAGGATTTTTCACTTGGTTTGTTAGTATAATAGAATTGAAATGTTCCCAGTCATATGGCCAACACAGGGTAATATTGCTTTACTGTTTCAAATTAACAACAGTGTACATCCATCCCAGTATCCCAGTATTACAGCAGAAGTAATACATATATTTGGCAATTCGCAATCACCAAACGACCAAACCATTCACCCTCCATTACAAAAAATGACAGCCTAATCTACAAAGGCGGGGCTGATGGTGAAGACAGCAACGATCTTGTGCTAGAACATTCAGGTTGCAATGCTCCAATCCACCAAGAATCAAAATCGATCATGATGAACCACCGAATACCTGCAAGTGCGATGAAAGCAGGTCAAATGACTAGCTAGCTAACATAAAAGCACCACCAGGTAAGCTGCCAGAGGGCTGCACACTTACTCCGGCCAGAATATTTTTTGAGAGCTTTGCCTTTTTATTAGGGCCTCTCTCCTCAACTGCTCTATTCTGTCGAGGAATTGGACGATCGTTATTCGTCTCACCAACATCATTGGATTCTTTTCCTTCCGGCTTTTGCTTCTGTTTCAAGGATGTCACCAAGGTATATAGATATCTTAGTAATGAAACTTACAGTGAACGACAAAATAAGGGAGAAAATATCGAGTGTTCGAGCTAGCTTGTAACTGAACAGTTTTTCCTACTATATCCAAACCATGTGTCTGGAACTCAGATAAAGATGATACATAACAGAAAGAAAATGCCCAACATGAATTATGCTAGAAGTTAAACAATAAAGCATACCTTTTTTATGCGCTCACGAATAAATTTCTGTGTACGAGACTTTTCAGCATTAGAGAGATAATGATCACGTTGTTTCTTCGCAGCTGTTATCTCCAACGTTAATTTCTGTTCCCTGATATGAGTCTTCTCAGCTGCATTAAACTCCAAGGATTAGACTACATATAAATCAGTTCACACTGCTAAGAAGTTTGTAGCTACTTTACAGTTTTGTACTTCAGGCATACCTATTTCACCAACCAGATCATCCCATTTGAACTTCCTGAGATATTTTATGTTCCAGATGTCATAATAAAATGACGACCTCTTCTTCCCACCTAATAAGATACATCATTAACACAGATGGCCATTAACAATTG